AGACTGATTCAAAGTTTACATGGGGAGCCAAGTTCTTCTATGGCTACGGGAACCAATCATCACACGGCGGCGCCACCTCCTATGCGCGGTGCTGCGTGGTACGGTGTGGTGCGGCGTAGTGCGGGGCGTTGTGGAGCGGTGCGGGGCGGCGTAGTGCGGGGCGTTGTGGAGCGTTGCGGGGCGGCGTAGTGCGGGGCGTTGTGGAGCGGTGCGGGGCGGCGTAGTGCGGGGGGGGCGTAGTGCGGGGCGTTGTGGAGCGGTGCGTTGCGGCTTGGTGCGGGGCGGCGTGGTGCGGGGTGGTGCGCGCGGTGCGGGGTGGTGCGCGCGGTGCGGGGGGTCGCGCGGTGCGGGGGGTCGCGCGGTGCGGGGGGTCGCGCGGTGCGGGGGGTCGCGCGGTCCGGCGAGGGCCGTTCGACGCCGCTTGCGGCTTTAATTTTTTATTTATTTCTTTCTTTCTTTTTTCTTCTGCGCTTTGAGCCTTAATTTGACCCCCTGAACATTGATGAAAAGTTGTGAAATTTTGCCCAAAATTCAGAACTGGTGAAAAATTAATTTTTTTGGTGTTTATTTTTATGGGACAAAAAAAATGACAGAACAGCGCCCCCTACAAAAGTCAGTTTACATTGCGCCTATGGGAGGGGGTCGGAGGTCAAGTTTGTAGTAGAGCCACGAAATTCGGTACACATGTTCCTCAGGTCAAGACATGAAAAAAAAGTTATTATGGCTCCGCCCCCTGACAAACAGGAAGCTCATTAATTTAATTGGAAAATGGAAAAATGAAAATTGATCTTTTTCACACATGTCGGCTGGAAATTATCTCCTCCTCGGCCGCTTCACCGATTTGTCTCAAAATCGCTCCACATGGTCTAAACCCATGTCCCATCTATTATTGAATATAGAATTTGGATCAATTAAACGTTGTCCGAGCAGCGGAGCGGCAAAATGTGACATTTTTTTCCCAATTTTTGACAAAAGTAAATTTGCTCCCGTTTGCACAAACAAAGTCCGATTTGCACAACATTTTAATGCATTGTTCAGCTCCAGGGTCTAGGTCATCTGAAAGTGGAAATATTGAAATTGGCTCATTAGCGCCCCCTACAGACTATGTTAAAGTTTTACATGGGCTTTTTAAAATTTAGTTTTGTCAAAATGTTTGAAATTTTGCACATAATTCTGTTTCGTCATCTGGATTCAAAGAGTCAATGACAACATATGATTATTTTTTACCCTGTTGCCGTGGCGACGACCAACACGCCCCTGTCTGTGTCTATGAGAAAATCGTTAAATCTCTGAAAAGTACACCTCGCTCCAACATCATACCAGCCACGGCCGTTTCACTAATTTGTCTGAAAATTGCTCCACATGGTCTCAACACATGGACCATCAATAGTTGCATATAGAGTTTTAATTAGTCAAACGGTCTGCGCGTGACAGACTCCCAAAGTGGGGTTATTTTCATAGAGAGGTGTGAAGTTCCCATGTTATCCAATGGAGACTGTATGGACACACTCACAGATTGTATGTGTAAACAGGAGCACATTTACAAACTCTGATTTGCACTAAACTTGACTCGGTTGTTCAACTCCTGGGCCTAGGTCACATGACAGTGTGAACAATGACATTGGCCCATTAGCGCCCCCTACAGGCTGAGTAAAGGTATACATGGGGATACAGGAATTTAGGTTTTGTGTTGTTTGATCTCATATTTGACCCACTGAACAAACACAAAAACTCACCAAACTTTGCCACAAGTTTTTTTCAGGCATAAAGTGTATTATTTTGGTGTTCTTTGGTATAACACTAATAAAATGAAATTGTAGGGGGCGCTATTGTACAACATTAAATGCCACCATTTGCACATACAAAGTCCGATTTGCACAAAATTTGAATTGATTGTTCAACTCTCGGGTTTGGGTAAACTGAAAGTGTAAATCATGAAATTGCAGCAATAGCGCCCCCTAGAGACTGAGTCAAGTGTTACATGGGGAAAATGAGGTATATCTTTTGAATAGAGAAACACAATCACTAATCATAGAAAGTAAAATTACACAGTGTCGCTCCCATCAGGGCTGCAGGAAAATGGCGCGTCAGCGCCACCTCCTTTGCGCGGTGCGGCGAGGGCCGTTAGATGCCGCTTGCGGCTTTAATATTAATATTGTTTCCTTAATTCCTTATAAGTCTATACATATCACAGCCTTTACTAATCCTAACGTTATCATTATCATTTATCCATATAATATTTATAATAATAATTTTCTTTATCATGTATATTATATATAGAGTAATATTTAAATTATATGTATATATATATATATATATATATATATATATATATATATATATATATATATATATATATATATATATATATATATTGAGGACAGTTACAAGTATCTCGGTATACCACAGGCAAATGGCAACCTCGAACAGGTGACGAGGAAAGCGGCAACTGCCAAATACCTCCAGCGAGTAAGGCAGGTCCTAAGAAGCCGGCTCAATGGCAAGAACAAGGCCCGGGCAATTAACAGCTACGCCCTGCCAGTGATCAGATACCCTGCAGGAATAATCAGGTGGCCAAAGGAAGAGATTCAGACCACGGATGTTAAAACTCGAAAGCTCCTTACCATGCATGGCGGGTTCCATCCCAAATCCAGCACCCTGAGACTGTACGTAAGCCGTAAAGAAGGAGGCCGAGGACTAGTGAGTGTGAGAGCCACTGTCCAGGACGAAACATCCAAACTCCATAACTACATCATGGAGAAGGCCAAAACGGATGACGTACTCAGTGAATGTCTCAGGCAGTGGCGAGATGAGGAGGTGCTGGAGGAGAGCCCATCATGGGAGAACAAGCCCCTACACGGCATGTACCACCGGAGCATAACAGAAGTGGCTGATCTCAAGAAGTCCTACCAATGGCTAGAAAGGGCTGGCCTACAGGACAGCACAGAGGCACTCATCATGGCTGCACAGGAACAGGCACTGAGCACCAGAGCGATAGAGGCCCAGATATACCACACCAGACAAGACCCAAGGTGTCGGTTGTGCAAAGAGGCACCTGAGACGATCCAACACATAACTGCAGGGTGCAAGATGCTGGCAGGGAAGGCCTACATGGAACGCCATAACCAAGTGGCTGGCATAGTGTACAGAAACATCTGTGGAGAGTATGGGCTGGAAACCCCAAGGTCTAAGTGGGAAACTCCTCCAAAGGTGGTGGAAAATGAGCGTGCGAAGATCCTGTGGGACTTCCAGATACAGACCGACCGAATGGTAATGGCAAACCAACCTGACATCGTGGTGGTAGACAAAGGGCAGAGGACAGCCGTGGTGGTGGACGTGGCAATTCCAAGCGATGGTAACATCCGGAAAAAAGAACATGAAAAGCTTGAGAAATACCAAGGTCTCAGAGAGGAGCTGGAGAGGGCCTGGAGGGTAAAGGTGACAGTAGTGCCCGTGGTGATCGGTGCACTCGGGGCAGTGACCCCGAAGCTAGATGAGTGGTTACAGCGGATCCCCGGAACAACCTCGGACATCTCGGTCCAGAAATGTGCAGTGCTAGGAACAGCAAAGATACTGCGCAGAACCCTCAAGCTCCCTGGCCTCTGGTAGAGGACCCGAGCTTAGAGAGGGATAACCGCCCGCGGAGGGCCAAAGGTGAGTGGACAATTTTTTTTTTATTATATATATATATATATAAAATTATAAGTGCTCATGATATATACGTATTATGTGTGATAAATTGGTGCTGAGCAAGCTCTGATGATGGTGTATAAGTCTAACTTTACTATTCACAGTATTTATGTACCATTGATATATCTGACTTTATAGCTTTTGGTTATTATTTACAATAACACAGTGTTCCTAAGATTAGATTCCATGATTGAGTTTGTCCATTTTAGGGCCCTTATTTTGCCTATTATCATCAAAAATATGTTTGTTCTAACTTTTAGGATCAACCAATCACAGCGTCTGAAATGATGACTCATACCTAGCAACGGGGTCGGCCACGCCCCCTCACTAAGATAAAAGTTGTTGTCAATTCCTTGCTCAGAGTTCTCTAAGAGTGTTCTGGAATAACTTTTAAGCTAAGACTCCTAGCTAGGAGTTTTTAGGTTAAGATAAGAGCTCTTTGAGAGGACTCTCAGAATCTTTAGGAATACGGCCCCAGATTTTGTGGGGATGTTAGTGTCCCTTGTCGTCCTGAACTTTTTTTCTTCTTAAATCCTTCGGTTTTCTTTAAATCCACACTTTACTGCCACAAACTCTGCTACTTTCCTTCCCAGTCTGACCAATCAGAGCTACTGCTCTGATCAGCTCTGATTGGTCAGAGTGCGGCCGAGCCCCTCTGTGCACGTGCATGAGAGACACACACTCGTATTTGGCCCAAAGCATCATGGGAGCTCGTCCACTGCGCAGAATCAGGAGGACCAGATGATGCCCAAATATGGGCGAGTTCTGCTAATCTCCCGGTCTCCGTGAAGTCCCATGAACTACTGAGCACAAGGCATTCATTTGAATAGGGGCCATCTTGGATCACTGGGGCTTGCTCGAAACCCTCGGGTTACAGCAAAGTGTAGGGTTAGTCTTTATGCCTCAGGGGCTTAAAGAGGGACAAGAGTATCGCATTTATCTCAGATTCAACTGTGTTCAATTAAGTTTTATTTTATTTTAAATGTGCAAATAAACAGGTGTGATAAGTCTTTAAAATAAAGGATTAGTTGTTTAGATGTTAAAAGACGCTCCGGTTAATAAAGTCATTTCAGAGATATTTCAAAATCTGTGGATAGGGTTTGGTTGGATTCAGATTTGGTATCGACGACTTATCAATTTTAATTAGAATTATTTTCATGTAAAAATAAATTGTGTAAAATAGCTGGAAATGTCAATTCACTTGTTAAATATTTTGAGTGATATTTATTCCCAGATGTTTTGTGGTCACAGTTCAGGTACATCTTAATCAGTGTCAGAATCCTGTTGGAACAGTTGAACTCAGCTCATACCTGGTTGCTTCTCCGCCGTTGCTTGAGGGAGAAGGCGTCCGTCTTGCTGTTGCAGACCTCAGACTGTCTTCTGGATTTAGCAGCGCTGTCTCTCTCACCTCCTCGATCCTCAGCTCGCCGTCTCCTGGTCCACTCTCCGGTTTATACGTGAAAACGATGGTTGGTTTTTGGTTGGGATCCTCTGGCTTGGCCTCTGTGAACCACTGATGCTGCTGCACGGGTGGAGCTGGCAGCATGTGGATAACCGTCCCATCGATTCCAATCAATTTTCCTTTCTCCTTTTCAACCTTTTCTTTTTGATCTTCATCGTCTTTTCGTCTTTTGAAGAAACTTCTAAAGGATATCCAGCGTTTCGGTTTGGAGCTATCAGGATTCCCACGTCTTCCCTCTCCATCAACATCGGCATGCCTTGAAGAACTCAGACCTGCGCTCTTGGTCCAATTGGCGAAGTGTCTTTGTAGTATGTTGGTGGCATGATACGGCGATGACGTGGATCTGGGCGGAGGGAAGGGCGGGCTTTGCTCTGATTTTGGACTGGAAAGGGAAACCGCTGCTGATGCGCTTTGAGATTTGGATAAAACTTTAGAAGGTGTATCTTTCTTGGACTTCAACCCAGCATCAGCTGAGGTAAAGAGCGATTTAGGTCTTGTCAGCATCTCTTTCACAGCATCAGGAGGAAGCGAATACAACTCTTCCAAACTTTTTTCTGGAGGCGTTTGCGGAGGCTGGATGGATGTAACTATTTGTGAAAGCACAGCACTCGCTTCTTCTCTGTGGCATCCTGTAGACCGAAAAGTCAAACTTAAATCATTGTCGTCGACCTTTCCATCTCCTACTATCCTAGATGCCGTACTAGTGCTAGCATTACTCTTAGCAATGGCAGAACTAGCTGGTGAACTAGTCAAAGAAATGGGTTGAAAACTTCCCGACTGAGAGCTTGTACTGGACACTGTGCTAGAATCCAAAATGGACCTAGCTTGTAAATTTGTCACTTTTGTTGTCAATTCTTGTTGCGATGTCTTATCCTCAAACAAAGCTTGCTCTGATGTACCTCTACCAGAGATAGTTTTGTCTGTAGATGATGAATGGACACTTTCAGACGACCCAATTTCTTCGTAAGTGTGGCTGGCCACTCTGCTCCCTGCACCTTTAGGCGGAGGAAGCTCACCACACACGCCTAAAAAGCTCTTGTAAACTGCTAAGTTATCATAGGCGCTCGGATTAATCACGATGGGGACTTTGACTGCGTTCTTACAGCTACGTGCATAGGCTGGCTCGTCACGAATAATAATGGGGAAAGGAGGCATTCCTGCATTATTGAAACTATTAAATTTGATTTCAGATAAGTTTGGAGACTTGACTGGGACTGTACGTGAAGAGGACAGTCCTGCGATGGGAGAAGTCGGAGCCGATTTATGACTGTAATGTTGAGCAATGACAGATGACCCAGAATTGCTTCCATTTCCAAAGTCAAGTTTTGCGATCTTCTGTCTTGGACTTGTGCTGGACGTCCAGACTTCTTGGTAGCGTATGTTGCCAGACTTTTTGCGAGAGGCAGGGATAGGTGCGACAGAAATTGGCGACTTTGGTGAAATGGAGAAAGTTGGAGAGGTTGGAGAAAGGGGCTGGCTTGAAAAAGACTTAGGCAATGGTGTCAGAATAGTGGGACTTGACACTTGGGGGGATTTTGGTGTGGAATGGCTACTTTGTTCATCTTTGCTAGCCATAGATGCAGATACGTCAACTACAGTGTAGGGCTTACATATTAGTGATTTTTCTAGGTTGACAACTCGATATGGTTTGGCCTTCTCCTCTGTTGGACTGAAGCTAATTGTAACAGGCTGTCCTTGGATCGCTTGGGGCACGGGTATACCCTCTTTTCCATCTTTGTCTTCTAACCTAATTGCCAAAACTGATGTGTGCATTTCAGTAACTTTAACTGGGCCTTTTGGCGAAGTGCATTGTGCGTTAGGGGACGTAGGTAAACTATTCTTTATCGGACACGGAGCGCTGCTGCCGCTACTTGAAGTTGTGCGTGAATCTTCTGGCTGGGAAGATGATGATTCTGGGGATGTTGTAGTCTCAGAGTTTGAACAAAATCCACTCCCTTGTAAAATGTGATGTCCATAAGGCATGAGACTTCCATTTGAGGCCATGGACGGGTAACCGTTCAGAATTTCATCGTAGCTATCGTCATAATCAACTGCACAGATTCTTTGGAGTGACCTATTTCGTAGAGGGACAGTATTCCACTTTTTCCCTGCTGCAAAAGGGACGGGGGACAAAGTCGCGGCTCGGAAGTTTGCGAAACGTGGCTGGCCCCTCATGCGTATTTCCATTGCCAACAACTCTTCGTCACTCTCGTCCCAGCTTTCGTGTTCGTCATCTTTTTCTGTATCATCGTCTTCGTCATCCTCGTCATCACTCGAAAAATCAGGGTAACAAAACCGCCCACCCTCCCGGCTAATAATTTCCGTACTATCACTTAGCGAGACTCGTTTTTGCGACGAACTTGGACCACCATCTCCTCCGCTAATGCTGCTTCCCATCGCTAAACAACTTGCAGACGGTAGACCTCTTTCCAAGGACTTTCTATATGAGGAACTTATTCGACCCCAAAACATGTCTTTAGATCCTGAAAGAGGCGGCAAACTAGGCCCCAAACCGGCAATTTCCTTTAAAACATCAGTCAATCCGCTGCTATTGTTATTTCCACTTGGTGTCCTTGGGCTCAGTGGTCCATAACCTTCGATCTCTTGCCGTCCAACCTCCCCCTCAAAGTTAGTATTGTTTGGCTTTTTTTGGTTGAGTCCATTGTGGTTCCAAACTGTAAAAGCGGAAGTTTTGCCTGGTTCGATTTGGGTGTTGGTGGGTGATAGAAGAGCTGAATCGAGTCCTGGCGATGGAGATGTTGTAGATGTTGTAGATGATAGAGATGTTGGGGTGGTTGGGGAGGTTGGGGTGGTTGGGGAGGTTGGGGTGGTTGGGGAGGTTGAGGAGGTTGAGGAGGTTGGGGAGGTTGGGGAGGTTGAGGAGGTTGGGGAGGACGGGAGCATCATTGTGGGCTTCACAGCGATGGTCGGCTTCTTGGCCACAGGAGGTCGGAAATGCCCCGTCCTGAAGAGAAGAGAGAAAATGACTTTGGTTATATTTTATAATCACATGTTTGAAGTTCTAAACATCCATCTAAACTTATTCATCGCAGTGAGATTAGATTGGATTAATACATGTGGCCCTAACACATTTCTATATTTAATTGGAATATCAAGTTTTAAGACATGTTTTCACAGAAAAATAAATCAGTGGATGTTAAAACCTCGCAACCCCATTCCCCAAGTCTTCAGCCGCCATTGAGGTCAGAAACACAAGTTTACATAATTGACTTGGAATAAACAGTATATGAAAATATATTGAGGCTAATTAAAGAATGGAACATTTCTTCTTTAAATCTAAGAGGTACATATAATTTAGGAAAGAAACAAAGGTGGATAAATCTGTAATCAGCCTCAAAACATTGTCCAAAAAGAGTCAAAAGAAAATGTACAGACCCTTCTTTTGTTGATAGTGTGTCTGTCACTGACCTGGCTGAGCAGCCGCCTGGAGTCTGTGTGTAGTGCATTATCCCAGTGCTGTCTCTGCTGCCCCCTGGTGGCAGACCTGGCTGGTGCGTCCCTAAATCTGGGACCAGCCTGGATCCTCCGCTCCCTGAGGCACAGTGCAGGCTCCTGGGCTTGAAGCAGTTCTTACATTCACCTGGTTTCCACACATGCTCCGTGAAGAAGCTGCAGGCGGACATGGCTGAGGGTGAGGGAGGGGGTGAAGCTGAGCGTGTGAAGGTGAGAGGGTGAGGGGCTGAGGGTGAGGGGGTTAGGGGGTGAAGGGGTGAGGGTGAGGAGATGGAGGGTCAGTGAACCGGGAACCCCTCCATAAAACCACAGGCTGCACTGTGGACCAGAATCGATGATGGATCCAGAAAAGAGCTCGCTGCACCTGAAGAAGAGGAAAGACAGAATATTATTGATTGAAGAGAATGGCCTTAAAGGAGACCAGTGAGGTGCCATGACGCAGTTTTGGTAGTTTCTCCATTCTCAGTGTTTCCAGGCGGTCATTTTCACACAAAAATGATGCGTGTTTCATGAATAACATTTAAAAGTCTAAAACATTAAATGACAAAGTAGTCTCATTATCATATTTAGACACAGCCTAGTAAGAAACTGTCCACATCAGATCCTGAGGTTTAACTTAGTGGAAAACATTTTTATCTTTTACAAACTTGTAGAAAAATAAGGAAACTGTTATTTGTCCCAGAATGAGGAAACATCAAAACAAATACTGGAAATATTCAGAAAACAACTCTTTATGATAATGATGCCTTTTTTCTTATTGAAAGTTTTTATTAACCCTTCGTCCTGCATTTATAAATATGAATATTCTTTTTTTCACAAGAAATAATACAAATCCCTGTGAGTGAATATTGGTTGTGTCGTTCTCTGATCTAAAGGCCACAGATACATTATAGAGGAGTGGAATCTAAAGATAAAAACAAACTGTTCAGAGAGAGAGGAACTAGTTCGATGGATTTTAGGATGTGCTGTGGTTTAAAAGTTAGGTACCCCAGCTTTAACTGTGTTTATTTCTCTGATATTCTACTGCAATTGAGTGTTTTAAATAGTCTTGTAGTAACTTCCATAATAAAGTCAGTAAAACTACTGTGGATGTCACATAACCTGCAGTACTCACGGCCTCCTGCAGGGGCCAGTCTGCACATGTGGCTGCTCTTCAGCAGAAACTTTATAAACTCCACATTTATGAAGGGACCAGGACATCAAACCAAACAGATTTCACTTCAGTGTTTGTTTGGACCTGTTCTGCCACAGACCTCTGCTTGTTCAAGTCAATGGGCAGAAAATAATGGACCAAAACACAGCAATACAACTCAGCCAAACAGTAAAACATAATGGAACATGGAAAAACTCCAGTTTATATGTGCTTAGCTGGAGATGGATTTATAAAACTATTAATAAATGAAAACAATCTTTGCTTCTGTCCATTTAACACAGTTTGATACAAAGAAGTCTAATGTTTAATCAAATACATTTTATGTATAAGTAGGAAACAGTCTGTAACGGTCTCTGTAACGGTCTCTGTAACGGTCTCTGTAACGGTCAGTAACGGTCTGTAAAGGTCTGTAACGGTCTGTAACGGTCTGTAACGGTCAGTAACGGTCTGTAACGGTCTGTAACGGTCTGTAACGGTCAGTAACGGTCTGTAACGGTCTGTAACGGTCTGTAACGGTCTGTAACGGTCAGTAACGGTCAGTAATGGTTCCACAGACTGTAGAGTTAGTTTCCACAGACTGGAAACTAACTCTACACAGTCTGTGGAAACTAACTCTACACAGTCTGTGGAAACTAACTCTATACAGTCTGTGGAAACTAACTCTACAGTCTGTGGAAACTAACTCTACAGTCTGTGGAAACTAACTCTATACAGTCTGTGGAAACTAACTCTACAGTCTGTGGAAACTAACTCTACAGTCTGTGGAAACTAACTCTATAGTCTGTGGAAACTAACTCTACACAGTCTGTGGAAACCTAACTCTACAGTCTGTGGAAACTAACTTTACAGTCTGTGGAAACTAACTCTACAGTCTGTGGAAACTAACTCTACACAGTCTGTGGTAACTAACTCTACACAGTCTGTGGAAACTAACTCTACACAGTCTGTGGAAACTAACTCTACACAGTCTGTGGAAACTAACTCTACACTGTCTGTGGAAACTAACTCTACAGTCTGTGGAAACTAACTCTATACAGTCTGTGTTAGCATTAGCGTCTGTATACAGTCTGTGTTAGCATTAGCGTCTATATTCTTGTGTTTCATTAAACTGGCCCGTAGGGGGCGCATGAGCAGAGATGGGACAGTGTTGCTCCCATGTAAAACCATGTAAAGTCTCATTCAAAGTTTCATTGGGGTGGCCTGCAGGGGGCGCTTATCTGGGAAAGCCTTGATCCACCTCGCCCGCCTCATTCCAGTGTTTTTTCAAAGTGTCTCCTTTATATGAGACCACAGTTGGAACATGAACAAACTCTGGTCTTTCTCTCTATTTGTGCGGTTTCTACTAGGGCTGGGCGATTAATCGATTTTAATCATTAATTCGAGTTTTACATTTAGGACGATTTCTTTTTTTAAAAATTCGATTTTTATTTTCTCCATTGCAGAACTACAGCGCTAACGCGCTAACCGCGGGTCTATGGTGTTGAGCAGTCATTTTGAAGCTAACCTAATGCTAACAGTCTCCCTCTGGCCTGATGCTCGCTCTCACAGTTGGTGCTGTTGCAATAACACTTCAAACGTTCAAGAATCAGACTTTATTTAAATCGCCAGAACACACACACACACGCACGCAAGCCCCGGTCGCTATGTTCGTACGCCATGTTCGTACGCCATGTTCGTACGCCACATCTTTCACGCTCTCTCACGCTCGTTATTCCAAAGCGCACTCCCGTGTCCGTGGCGCGCACACACTCGTGTCCCACTGAGCCGCTGCACTTTGGGGAAAGACACGTCTCACACATTGCTCTCATTGCTCTGATACAAACAACGTGTTCCCCGCTGTCTGTTAGCTACAGTAGCTGCTACAGTAGCTGTTAGCTACAGCAGCTGCTACAGTAGCTGTTAGCTACAGTAGCTGTTAGCTACAGTAGCTGTTAGCTACCGTAGCTGCTACAGTAGCTGTTAGCTACAGTAGCTGCTACAGTAGCTGTTAGCTACAGTAGCTGCTACAGTAGCTGTTAGCTACAGCGTCAGAATGTAAACAGGAAGCTCGCACAATGCGGGAGTCACTGAAGTTAGTATTAGCGCCACCAGCTGGACCGAGCGTTGTACTACAGCACAGTTACTCAGGCACAGTTGAAAGAACAAGCATGAAAACCCGAGGAGGCTTTTGGAAAAGACTGTCTGTTACAACATTTCTATTTTGAGTAATCAGTTTTAAAAATGTGATATTTCATGTAAATAATGCATGTGTTTAATAGGATTGATATATTTGCGATGGGCCTTGTTTGTGTGATTTAAGTTATTTTGAAGGTGCATAGTGTCATTGTAAGTGAAGTTATTATAAAACTGTTAAGCTACATTTTCACTGTTTACAATGGCAGAGCCATCTCGTTTACAAGCATGTTTTAAGGCTTAATTCCTGTTACACTTATGCTCCATGGGGATTTAGATTGAACTGCATAAAGGACAATCTATTTCTTTGTCAGTTGTAGTTTGTTTTTAAATAGAAAAAAATAAATCGATTAAAATCGAAAATCGGATTTGCTGTGAAAAAATCGGAGATTTTTTTTTTTGCCATATCGCCCAGCCCTAGTTTCTACAAGCGTACACCGCACAGAAAGATGCTTCTTCTTCTACTATATCTCCGTGTATAAACCATTTCTTCTTCTACTATATCTCCGTGTATAAACCACTTCTTCTCCTACTATATCTCCGTGTATAAACCACTTCTTCTTCTAACTAACTCTATACAGTCTGTGGAAACTAACTCTATACAGTCTGTGGAAACTAACTCTACACAGTCTGTGGAAACTAACTCTACACAGTCTGTGGAAACTAACTCTATACAGTCTGTGGAAACTAACTCTATACAGTCTGTGGAAACTAACTCTACAGTCTGTGGAAACTAACTATACACAGTCTGTGGAAACCTAACTCTACAGTCTGTGGAAACTAACTCTACAGTCTGTGGAAACTAACTCTACACAGTCTGTGGAAACTAACTCTACACAGTCTGTGGAAACCTAACTCTACAGTCTGTGGAAACTAACTCTACAGTCTGTGGAAACTAACTCTACAGTCTGTTGAAACTAACTCTACAGTCTGTGGAACTAACTCTACAGTCTGTGGAAACTAACTCTACACAGTCTGTGGAAACTAACTCTACACAGTCTGTGGAAACTAACTCTACAGTCTGTGGAAACTAACTTTACAGTCTGTGGAAACTAACTCTATACAGTCTGTGGAAACTAACTCTACACAGTCTGTGGAAACTAACTACAGTCTGTGGAAACTAACTCTACACAGTCTGTGGAAACTAACTCTACAGTCTGTGGAAACTAACTCTACAGTCTGTAGAAACTAACTCTATACAGTCTGTGGAAACTAACTCTATACAGTCTGTGGAAACTAACTCTATACAGTCTGTGGAAACTAACTCTACACAGTCTGTGGAAACTAACTCTACACAGTCTGTGGAAACTAACTCTACAGTCCGTAGAAACTAAATCTATACAGTCTGTGGAAACTAACTCTATACAGTCTGTGGAAACTAACTCTATACAGTCTGTGGAAACTAACTCTACACAGTCTGTGGAAACTAACTCTACAGTCTGTGGAAACTAACTCTACAGTCTGTGGAAACTAACTCTACAGTCTGTGGAAACTAACTCTATACAGTCTGTGGAAACTAACTCTATACAGTCTGTGGGAACTAACTCTACACAGTCTGTGGAAACTAACTCTATACAGTCTGTGGAAACTAACTCTATACAGTCTGTGGAAACTAACTCTACAGTCTGTGGAAACTAACTATACACAGTCTGTGGAAACCTAACTCTACAGTCTGTGGAAACTAACTCTACAGTCTGTGGAAACTAACTCTACAGTCTGTGGAAACTAACTTTACAGTCTGTGGAAACTAACTCTACACAGTCTGTGGAAACTAACTCTACAGTCTGTGGAAACTAACTCTACACAGTCTGTGGAAACTAACTCTACACAGTCTGTGGAAACTAACTCTACACAGTCTGTGGAAACTAACTCTACACAGTCTGTGGAAACTAACTCTACACAGTCTGTGGAAACTAACTCTACACAGTCTGTGGAAACTAACTCTACAGTCTGTGGAAACTAACTCTACAGTCTGTGGAAACTAACTCTACAGTCTGTGGAAACTAACTCTACACAGTCTGTGGAAACTAACTCTACACAGTCTGTGGAAAATAACTCTACACAGTCTGTGGAAACTAACTCTACAGTCTGTAGAAACTAACTCTATACAGTCTGTGGAAACTAACTCTACACAGTCTGTGGAAACTAACTCTATACAGTCTGTGGAAACTAACTCTATACAGTCTGTGGAAACTAACTCTATACAGTCTGTGGAAACTAACTCTACACAGTCTGTGGAAACTAACTCTACAGTCTGTGGAAACTAACTCTACAGTCTGTGGAAACTAACTCTACAGTCTGTGGAAACTAACTCTATACAGTCTGTGGAAACTAACTCTATACAGTCTGTGGAAACTAACTCTATACAGTCTGTGGAAACTAACTCTACACAGTCTGTGGAAACTAACTCTATACAGTCTGTGGAAACTAACTCTACAGTCTGTGGAAACTAACTCTATACAGTCTGTGGAAACTAACTCTATACAGTCTGTGGAAACTAACTCTACAGTCTGTGGAAACTAACTCTACAGTCTGTGGAAACTAACTCTACAGTGTGTGGAAACTAACTCTACACAGTCTGTGGAAACTAACTCTATACAGTCTGTGGAAACTAACTCTACAGTCTGTGGAAACTAACTCTATACAGTCTGTGGAAACTAACTCTATATAGTCTGTGGAAACTAACTCTACAGTCTGTGGAAACTAACTCTACAGTCTGTGGAAACTAACTCTATACAGTCTGTGGAAACTAACTCTATACAGTCTGTGGAAACTAACTCTACAGTCTGTGGAAACTAACTATACACAGTCTGTGGAAACCTAACTCTACAGTCTGTGGAAACTAACTTTACAGTCTGTGGAAACTAACTCTATACAGTCTGTGGAAACTAACTCTACAGTCTGTGGAAACTAACTCTACACAGTCTGTGGAAACTAACTCTACACAGTCTGTGGAAACTAACTCTACACAGTCTGTGGAAACTAACTCTACACTGTCTGTGGAAACTAACTCTACAGTCTGTGGAAACTAACTCTATACAGTCTGTGTTAGCATTAGCGTCTGTATACAGTCTGTGTTAGCATTAGCGTCTGTATACAGTCTGTGTTAGCATTAGCGTCTGTATACAGTCTGTGTTAGCATTAGCGTCTATATTCTTGTGTTTCATTAAACTGGCCTGTAGGGGGCGCATGAGCAGAGATGGGACAGTGTTGCTCCCATGTAAAACCATGTAAAGTCTCATTCAAAGTTTCATTGGGGTGGCCTGCAGGGGGCGCTTATCTGGGAAAGCCTTGATCCACCTCGCCCGCCTCATTCCAGTGTTTTTTCAAAGTGTCTCCTTTATATGAGACCACAGTTGGAACATGAACAAACTCTGGTCTTTCTCTCTATTTGTGCGGTTTCTACAAGCGTACACCGCACAGGAAGATGCTTCTTCTTCTACTATATCTCCGTGTATAAACCATTTCTTCTTCTACTATATCTCCGTGTATAAACCACTTATTCTCCTACTATATCTCCGTGTATAAACCACTTCTTCTTCTAACTAACTCTATACAGTCTGTGGAAACTAACTCTATACAGTCTGTGGAAACTAACTCTACACAGTCTGTGGAAACTAACTCTACACAGTCTGTGGAAACTAACTCTATACAGTCTGTGGAAACTAACTCTATACAGTCTGTGGAAACTAACTCTACAGTCTGTGGAAACTAACTATACACAGTCTGTGGAAACCTAACTCTACAGTCTGTGGAAACTAACTCTACAGTCTGTGGAAACTAACTCTACACAGTCTGTGGAAACTAACTCTACACAGTCTGTGGAAACCTAACTCTACAGTCTGTGGAAACTAACTCTACAGTCTGTGGAAACTAACTCTACAGTCTGTTGAAACTAACTCTACAGTCTGTGGAAACTAACTCTACACAGTCTGTGGAAACTAACTCTACAGTCTGTAGAAACTAACTCTATACAGTCTGTGGAAACTAACTCTATACAATCTGTGGAAACTAACTCTATACAGTCTGTGGAAACTAACTCTACACAGTCTGTGGAAACTAACTCTATACAGTCTGTGGAAACTAACTCTACAGTCTGTGGAAACTAACTCTATACAGTCTGTGGAAACTAACTCTATACAGTCTGTGGAAACTAACTCTACAGTCTGTGGAAACTAACTCTACAGTCTGTGGAAACTAACTCTATACAGTCTGTGGAAACTAACTCTATACAGTCTGTGGAAACTACCTCTACAGTCTGTGGAAACTAACTCTACAGTGTGTGGAAACTAACTCTACACAGTCTGTGGAAACTAACTCTATACAGTCTGTGGAAACTAACTCTACAGTCTGTGGAAACTAACTCTATACAGTCTGTGGAAACTAACTCTATATAGTCTGTGGAAACTAACTCTACAGTCTGTGGAAACTAACTCTACAGTCTGTGGAAACTAACTCTATACAGTCTGTGGAAACTAACTCTATACAGTCTGTGGAAACTAACTCTACAGTCTGTGGAAACTAACTATACACAGTCTGTGGAAACCTAACTCTACAGTCTGTGGAAACTAACTCTACAGTCTGTGGAAACTAACTCTACAGTGTGTGGAAACTAACTCTACACAGTCTGTGGAAACCTAACTCTACAGTCTGTGGAAACTAACTTTACAGTCTGTGGAAACTAACTCTATACAGTCTGTGGAAACTAACTCTACAGTCTGTGGAAACTAACTCTACACAGTCTGTGGAAACTAACTCTACACAGTCTGTGGAAACTAACTCTACACAGTCTGTGGAAACTAACTCTACACTGTCTGTGGAAACTAACTCTACAGTCTGTGGAAACTAACTCTATACAGTCTGTGTTAGCATTAGCGTCTGTATACAGTCTGTGTTAGCATTAGCGTCTGTATACAGTCTGTGTTAGCATTAGCGTCTGTATACAGTCTGTGTTAGCATTAGCGTCTATATTCTTGTGTTTCATTAAACTGGCCTGTAGGGGGCGCATGAGCAGAGATGGGACAGTGTTGCTCCCATGTAAAACCATGTAAAGTCTCATTCAAAGTTTCATCGGGGTGGCCTGCAGGGGGCGCTTATCTGGGAAAGCCTTGATCCACCTCGCCCGCCTCATTCCAGTGTTTTTTCAAAGTGTCTCCTTTATATGAGACCACAGTTGGAACATGAACAAACTCTGGTCTTTCTCTCTATTTGTGCGGTTTCTACAAGCGTACACCGCACAGGAAGATGCTTCTTCTTCTACTATATCTCCGTGTATAAACCATTTCTTCTTCTACTATATCTCCGTGTATAAACCACTTCTTCTCCTACTATATCTCCGTGTATAAACCACTTCTTCTTCTACTATATCTCCGTGTATAAACCACTTCTTCTCCTACTATATCTCCGTGTATAAACCACTTCTTCTTCTACTATATCTCCGTGTATAAACCACTTCTTCTCCTACTATATCTCTGTGTATAAACCACTTCTTCTCCTACTATATCTCTGTGTATAAACCACTTCTTCTCCTACTATATCTCCGTGTATAAACCACTTCTTCTCCTACTATATCTCTGTGTATAAACCACTTCTTCTCCTACTATATCTCCGTGTATAAACCACTTCTTCTCCTACTATATCTCCGTGTATAAACCCGGCAGACTGCACCGCCAGGGTACGTCACGTCCTGTCCTAGGTTTATTATTTGCCACTGCCCTGACGTCAAATGAAACCCAAGTACACAGTCTGTGGGAAACTAACTCTAACTCCTGAATAAATGACAATGACCCCCGCCACACGGTGAAAAGCTGTGAATGTTGTTTGTGTCAAAATCAGCCACTTTGTAGGTTTACAGTTTACCCCCCCCCCCCCCCCCCTCTCCCTGACGGAGGGAATGGCTGAAATAGTTGAGAACAAAAGCAGTGTTTTTCTTCTACAGTGATAATCATGATCTCGTCCACAGGAGATTTACGGCTGTGTTTTGTTCAGATGCAGCTGCTGCACATTTGTCCCGATAGAAAAGAGGTGTCTGGAGAAGGCCATGAATCATGAGGATCATGTGGTCACAGGGGGGGAGATAGGGGGGGGGGGGGGGGGGGGTGTTTATGTTCAAGTGAATAACATTTGTTAACGTTTGTTCCTAATATTTAATATTGTTGTACAAGAACAATTCAAAGCTGAAACATGTAAATCATACATTTTTATCCAGTCAGTGCTTTTAGACTCAGACAGACTTTATTCACACATGATGGAAAGTTAGAAGCCAAAGCTGCCCTGGGACAGACTGATAGAAGCCACAGCTGCCCTGGGACAGACTGATAGAAGCCACAGCTGCCCTGGGACAAACTGATGGAAGCCACAGCTGCCCTGGGACAGACTGATAGAAGCCACAGCTGCCCTGGGACAGACTGATAGAAGCCACAGCTGCCCTGGGACAAACTGATGGAAGCCACAGCTGCCCTGGGACAGACTGATAGAAGCTAGTACCTGACAGTACTACTTCAGTACCTGACAGTACTACTACAGTACCTGTCCATAAATGTATGGACAGGCTATAGATACAGGAGTCAGACTGTAGAACAAGGACTGAGGCCATTCAAACTACTTCATCTGCAACTATTGAAGTGTGGGCCCCACACCACAGTTTGAGAATCCCTGCTCTACACATTCACACTCATGACATCACAGACATGTGTTCACACCGAGGCACGTGTTCACGCCGGGGCATGTGTTCACACCGAGGCACGTGTTCACACCCAGGGGCACGTGTTCACACCCAGACACGTGTTCACACCCAGGGGCACGTGTTCACACCCAGGCACGTGTTCACACCCAGGCACGTGTTCACACCCAGGCACGTGTTCACACCAAGGCACGTGTTCACACCGAGGCACGTGTTCACACCCAGGGGCATGTGTTCACACCAAGACACGTGTTCACACCCAGACACGTGTTCACACCAAGGCACGTGTTCACACCCAGGGGCACGTGTTCACACCCAGGCACGTGTTCACACCCAGGCACGTGTTCACACCCAGGCACGTGTTCACACCAAGGCATGTGTTCACACCCAGGCACGTGTTCACACCCAGGCACGTGTTCACACTGAGGCACGTGTTCACACAGAGGCATGTGTTCACACCGAGGCATTTGTTCACACCCAGGTATGGGTTCACACCCAGGAATGTGTTCACACCGAGGCAGATGTTCTTACTGAGGCACGTGTTCTCAGCCAGGCACGTGTTCACACCCAGGCACGTGTTCACACCAAGGCACGTGTTCACACCCAGGCACGTGTTCACACAGAGGCATGTGTTCACACCGAGGCATTTGTTCACACCCAGGAATGTGTTCACACCGAGGCAGATGTTCTTACTGAGGCACGTGTTCTCAGCCAGGCAGGTGTTCGCACTGAGGCACGTGTTCACACCGAGGCATGTGTTCACACCAAGGCACATGTTCACACCCAGGCACATGTTCACACCCAGGAACGTGTTCACACAGAGGCATGTGTTCACACCGAGGCATTTGTTCACACCCAGGTATGGGTTCACACCCAGGAATGTGTTCACACCGAGGCAGATGTTCTTACTGAGGCACGTGTTCTCAGCCAGGCACGTGTTCACACCCAGGCACGTGTTCACACCAAGGCACGTGTTCACACCCAGGCACGTGTTCACACCCAGGCACGTGTTCACACAGAGGCATGTGTTCACACCGAGGCATTTGTTCACACCCAGGAATGTGTTCACACCGAGGCAGATGTTCTTACTGAGGCACGTGTTCTCAGCCAGGCAGGTGTTCGCACTGAGGCACGTGTTCACACCGAGGCATGTGTTCACACCAAGGCACATGTTCACACCCAGGCACATGTTCACACCCAGGAACGTGTTCACACAGAGGCACGTGTTCACACCCAGGCATGTGTTCACACCCAGGCACGTGTTCACATCGAGGCACGGGTTCACACCCAGGCACGTGTTCACACCGAGGCACGTGTTCACACCCAGGCACGTGTTCACACCCAGGCACGTATTCACACCGAGGCAGATGTTCTCACCGAGGCAGGTGTTCACACTAAGGCACGTGTTCACACTAAGGCACGTGTTCACACCGAGGCATGTGTTCACACCGAGGCACGTGTTCACAACGAGACATGTGTTCACACCCAGGCATGTGTTCACACCCAGGCATGTGTTCACACCGAGGCAGGTGTTCACACCCAGGCATGTGTTCACACCCAGGCACGTGTTCACACCCAGGCACGTGTTCACACCCAGGCACGTGTTCACACCGAGGCACGTGTTCACACCCAGGCACGTGTTCACACCCAGGCACGTATTCACACCGAGGCAGATGTTCTCACCGAGGCACGTGTTCACACCCAGGCAGGTGTTCACACTAAGGCACGTGTTCACACTAAGGCACGTGTTCACACCGAGGCATGTGTTCACACCGAGGCACGTGTTCACAACGAGACATGTGTTCACACCCAGGCATGTGTTCACACCCAGGCATGTGTTCACACCGAGGCAGGTGTTCACACCCAGGCATGTGTTCACACCCAGGCACGTGTTCACACCCAGGCACGTGTTCACACCGAGGCACGTGTTCACACCCAGGCACGTGTTCACACCCAGGCACGTATTCACACCGAGGCAGATGTTCTCACCGAGGCACGTGTTCACACCGAGGCATGTGTTCACACCGAGGCACGTGTTCACAACGAGACATGTGTTCACACCCAGGCATGTGTTCACACCCAGGCAGGTGTTCTCACCCAGGCATGTGTTCACACCGAGGCACGTGTTCACACCGAGGCACGTGTTCACACCAAGGCATGTGTTCACACCGAGGCACGTTTTCACACTGAGGCATGTGTTCACACCCAGGCATGTGTTCACACCGAGGCATGTGTTCACACCAAGGCATGTGTTCACACCGAAGCATGTGAGAGATGTGTTTGAAAATGAAAGTATGTTGTATTTTTTAATATATGTACAAATACAATATAACATCTTTATCAAAGTAATTTCTTAGTCAACAGTAATTTTAAAATGCTCACCCAGGCACGTGTTCACACCAAGGCACGTGTTCACACCCAGGCACGTGTTCACACCCAGGCACGTGTTCACACTGAGGCACGTGTTCACACAGAGGCATGTGTTCACACCGAGGCATTTGTTCACACCCAGGTATGGGTTCACACCCAGGAATGTGTTCACACCGAGGCAGATGTTCTTACTGAGGCACGTGTTCTCAGCCAGGCAGGTGTTCGCACTGAGGCACGTGTTCACACCGAGGCATGTGTTCACACCAAGGCACATGTTCACACCCAGGCACATGTTCACACAGAGGCACGTGTTCACACCCAGGCACGTGTTCACACCCAGGCACGTGTTCACACCCAGGCACGTATTCACACCCAGGCAGATGTTCTCACCGAGGCACGTGTTCACACCCAGGCAGGTGTTCACACTAAGGCACGTGTTCACACCGAGGCATGTGTTCACACCGAGGCACGTGTTCACAACGAGACATGTGTTCACACCCAGGCATGTGTTCACACCCAGGCATGTGTTCACACCGAGGCAGGGGTTCTCACCCAGGCATGTGTTCACACCGAGGCATGTGTTCACACCGAGGCATGTGTTCACACCCAGGCATGTGTTCACACCGAGGCAGGTGTTCTCACCCAGGCATGTGTTCACACCGAGGCACGTGTTCACACCGAGGCATGTGTTCACACCGAGGCAGGTGTTCTCACCCAGGCATGTGTTCACACCGAGGCACGTGTTCACACCGAGGCATGTGTTCACACCGAGGCAGGTGTTCTCACCCAGGCATGTGTTCACACCGAGGCACGTGTTCACACCGAGGCACGTGTTCACACCGAGGCACGTGTTCACACCGAGGCACGTGTTCACACCGAGGCATGTGTTCACACCGAGGCACGTGTTCACACTGAGGCATGTGTTCACACCCAGGCATGTGTTCACACCGAGGCATGTGTTCACACCAAGGCATGTGTTCACACCGAAGCATGTGAGAGATGTGTTTGAAAATTAAAGTATGTTGTATTTTTTAATATATGTACAAATACAATATAACATCTTTATCAAAGTAATTTCTTATTCAACAGTAATTTTAAAATGCTCTTTACACCGAGCCATCGGCGACAGTGGCTCAGCAGCGGACTGCCACCTCCACTCAGATCTGGGTTAAGGGGAAGAAAAGGAATGGATGAATATGTGTCGTTCATAAAACAAACAGTTTTATGAACAAACAGACAGACAGTTTATAATCTCTCTTTCTCCCAGATTATAATCTCTCTCTCTCCCAGTTTAGGGCTCAGTCCACAGAGTTTTGTACAAAATGACGTCGGGTGACTGCTGCTTCAGAGCGACACGTGGAGTTTGGAACTAAATCCACTTCTGAAAGTGAAAAATAGCTGCGGATAACGAGCCCCAGAGGACGGAAAGGAAACCATGAACAAACAAAATAGTTTGTGTTGTGGAGAAGAAAGTGGTTCTCAGCATGTGGTGAGCGTACTGCAGTTTGAGACTTTCTGTTTGAATAGATTCAAAACACTCATTATTCATAATATTTATCTAGAGTCAGATACAGAAATGAATATAGTAGTAACGTAATGAATGTAATGATAATAATAATAATAATAATAACAATAATAATAACGATAATAATAACATTAATAATAATGATATAATGATAATAATAATAATAATAATAGTAACAATAATAATAACAATAATAATAACATTAATAATAATAATCATAATAATATAAGTGAGGGTTTGCTGGGAACGTCTTGCTGAGCCCCCTGTCAGACGGACTTTCAACTCACACCTCCGGGAGAGCTTCTCCCAGGTCCCGGCAGAGGAGGGGGACATCGAGTCCGAGTGGACCATGTTCTCTTCCTCTATCGCCAATGTGGCGGCTCGTAGCTGTGGTCGCAAGGTCTCTGGTGCTGGTCCCGGCGGCAATCCCCGAACCCGGTGGTGGACACCGGCAGTAAGGGATACCGTCAGGCTGAAGAAGGAGTCCTATCGAGCAATGATGGTTCGTGGGACTCCTGAGGCAGCTGTCCAGTACCGGCAGGCCAAACGTGCCGCGGCCCGGGCCGTTGCAGAGGCAAAAACCCGGGACTGGGAGGAGTTCGGAGAGTCCATGGAGCATGACTATCGGTCGGCCTCGAAGAGGTTCTGGCAAACCGTCCGGCGCCTCAGGAGGGGGAAGCAGTTCTTTGCCAACACCGTGTATGGTGCGGGTGGAGGGCTGCTGACCTCGACTGGGGATATTGTCGGGCGGTGGAAGGAATACTTCGAGGTTCTCCTCAATCCCCCCGTCACGTCCTCCGTCCAGGAGGCAGAGGCTGAGGATGTTGGGGCGGATACTTCCATCTCCCTGGCCGAGGTCACCAAGGTGGTTGGCAGCCTCCATGGTGGCAAGGCTCCGGGTGTGGATGAGATCCGTCCTGATTATCAAAAGTCTCTGGATGTTGTAGGACTGTCTTGGCTGACACGTCTCTGCAACATCGCGTGGCGATCGGGGGCGGTGCCAATGGAGTGTCAGACCGGGGTGGTGGTCCCTCTCTACAAGAAGGGGGGCCGGAGGGTGTGTTCCAATTATCGTGGGATCACACTCCTCAGCCTCCCCGGTAAGGTCTACTCCAAGGTACTGGAGAGGAGGCTACGTCCGATGGTCGAATCTCGGATTCAGTAGGAGCAGTGTGGTTTTCGTCCCGGTCGCGGAACACTGGACCAGCTCTATACTCTCCATCGGATACTCGAGGGTTCATGGGAGTTCGCCCAAGCTGTCCACATGTGCTTTGTGGATTTGGAGAAGGCGTTCGACCGTGTTCCCCGGGGTGTCCTTTGGGGGGTCCTCCGGGAGTACGGGGTCCGGGGTCCTCTGCTGAGGGCCGTTCGGTCCCTGTATGACCGGAGCCAGAGCTGTGTCCGCATTGCCGGCAGTAAGTCAGACCTGTTCCCGGTGCATGTTGGCCTCCGCCAGGGCTGCCCTTTGTCACCGGTTCTGTTCACTGTATTTATGGACAGAATCTCTAGGCGCAGCCAGGGGCCGGAGGGGGTCCGGTTCGGAGACCACAGGATTTCATCTCTACTTTTTGCGGATGATGTCGTCCTGCTGGCTCCAACGAACCAGGACCTGCAACATGCACTGGAGCGGTTTGCAGCCGAGTGTGAAGCGGCTGGGATGAGAATCAGCACCTCCAAATCCGAGGCCATGGTGCTCGACCGGAAAAAGGTGCCTTGCCCTCTTTAGGTGGGTGGAGAGGTCCTTCCTCAAGTGGAGGAGTTCAAGTATCTTGGGGTCTTGTTCACGAGTGAGGGGAGGATGGAGCGTGAGATTGACAGGCGGATCGGTGCAGCGTGCGCAGTGATGCGGTCTCTGTATCGAACCGTTGTGGTGAAGAGGGAGCTGAGCCGAAAGGCAAAGCTCTCGATTTACCGGTCAATCTTCGTTCCCTCCCTCACCTATGGTCATGAGCTGTGGGTAATGACCG